ACAACATTAAGATTGGAATATTATCAAGCACAAATAAAATGTTTAGGTATTAAGAACAGAAAAAAAAATCATTAAAATTACCTCCATTGCTAGACCAACCCCCATGAATTATACAGAGAGGTAACTAATATAACAAAATTTTGATAACAGTGGTAGTAGCATGCAATAAGCTCAAAAAGTTTCAATTGTTAGAACCAAATGCTTTGATAAAAGATTTGTGGTGAACTGAAAGGAATAATCTAGGTAGAATATAAGATCAAACCTGGGCGTCGAAGTGTGGCAGTCAAAGTGCGGCAAACGATCAACACAGGGAGAACAAATGTTTTCTGTCGAGAGCAGGGGGAGGCGAAGGAGATGGTGTCGAGAGGGAGAGTTGAAGCAGGCGACTATTTCGGTGCCGAGGGGAGGAGTCGAGCGAGAGGAAGTAGGCGAATGCGGGAGAGGGTCGCACGAGAAGGTGAGGCGTGTGAGCGGCAGAGGCGAGTGAGGGAGATGGCGATTCGAGAGAGCGGTTTCGGTGCCGAGGAGAATGGACGGTGAGCGAGATTTGTCGTGAGCGAGAGAGAGGCGAGCGAAGCTTCGGTACAGGGAGTATGCGAACTATGGTTCATAGAGGAGTGCGGGGGTTTTGTTCGCAGAGAGCAGGTGAGCTTCGATCGGGCGAGGAAGAGTTGAGCGAGGAATTCGATCGAGCATGGGAGACCAGCAAGAGCTTCGATCAGGGAGGCAGAGGGAGGTTGCGGCTTCGGTGCGGGGTGCGAGGTGCGGGAGACGGGATCAAGCAGAGCAGAGGATGGGATCTGCGGCTTTGGTGCGGGGTGCGGGAGACAGGATCGGAGCAAAGCTGAGGATGGGGTGCAGAGACGCTATCGAGCAGGCGTCCTTCGATGCCAATGGAGGATCAAGCGAGCGAGGAGGAAGAGGCGCAGTGCAGAGACAGGGCGGGCTGTTGTAGCCGTTACTCAGAAGCGATTGGCGGGGACTTAATTTGTTTCCTTTAACAGATGAGTTTATTTGGCATGACATATCTCCTAATTAAATTTCATTAAAGCTGGATTAAACATTTCATTTGAAATTTGAAATTTGAAATTCAAAATTCAAATTACTTAACTCTTGTTCAGGCTCAAGTTCAGCCTGAATCGAACCCGTCAAACCTCGATTGAGCTCAGGCCCACGTACCGCTAATAAAAAAGTGCATCGATTTCCGTGCAATTTGTGCGCGCATATAACCCCAGCAATATGGGTGTCCTTCCTAGCTAAAGTTGATGTTCCGGATGCGTCGGCGTGGTCCGTTTCGTCATCTGGGGTCGTCCGGACGAGTTTGCCGACGGGCAAGTCGATTTAAGCCAAAATTGTGTGATGCAACGAGTGCGTTGCTGAGTCATCGAGGGTTAACCTAAGGTCGTATGATCCTGTAAAAACTTATTTTCGGGCCCTCTACATGCTGGTCCTTAGCCCTTGCAACTAGAAGTTGAGTGCTTGGAACCACTCATGCGAGTTCTTCACAAAAATGAGTTAAGAAGAGGTTTGAAATTCTACGGGTGGGCTCCATTACTAGTCCGCTAGGATGGTCAACAAGGAACTCCTAACGCTAGATTATTTGTTCTGAGAGTATGAGACTAAGACCTCACTAAAAATGAGATCAACAAATGGACCCCCAATAGGTGTGGTGTGCTGAACAAGCACACTGCGCGTATTGGTGTTGACCAAAAGTGACCAACATGATCAAAAGAACCATCTAGTTACACCATACCCAAAATGAATCGATCCAGAGTCAAAATGAAATTTTGAGTTGAAACTTTCCTTTAGGGGATTTCCAACCCAAAGATAAGAACCATCTATATTGAAGAATTTCAAAAGTTTCCGCTGGGGATGCAGGGATTCGTCACATTTGTGTAGTTTGATTGTTTTGTCTTACAGAGATTGTTATGGTTGTATGGAGTGTCGTGGTTGGAAGGGGTGTTGTAAAAGGATTAGGATTGAACATATCCTAAATGTGCAAATATGTTGAGACAAGATTAGTGTTAAATATTTCCCAAATGTGCTGAGAAAGAATAGGACTAAGCCTACCCCCAAATATGCTGAGAAAGAATAAGATTAAGCTTATCCCAAATGTAATGAGTGCTGAGTGCTGAGAAAGGATTGGGATTATACCTATCCCAAATGTGCTGAGTGCTGAGTGTTGAGTGCTGAGAAAGGATTAGGATTAAACCTATCTCAAATGTATTGAGTGTTGAGTGCTGAGAAAGAATATGATTAAACCTATCCCAAATGTGATGAGTGCTGAGTGTTGGGAAAGAATATGATTAAACCTATCTCAAATGTGCTGAGAAAGGATTAGGATTGAACCTATCCCAGATGTGCTGAGTGCTTAGTGCTGAGTAAGATGTGCTGGGAAAGAATAGGATTAAACCTATCTCAAATGTGCTGAGAAAGGATTGATTGAACCTATCCCGAGTGCTGAGTGATGAGTGCTGAGTGCTGGGAAAGAATAGGATTGAACCTATCCCAAATGTGCTGAGAGAGGATTAGGATTGAACCTATCCTAAATGTGCTGAGTGTTGAGTGCTGAGTGCTGAGAAGGAATAAAACTATGTTTATTCTGCGTACTGAGTGTAAAAATTCGTGAAATGTGCATTGATGAAATTGTGGTGATTGCGGGGTTTTGTAACAATTTTGTGAAATTCACGAGAGTTTGTGCTGCAGAATTACGCAGATTTGCGGCGACTTCAAGACATGTGAACTTGTAAAGTTGTAGAGATTTGTCGAGATTGTGAATTCAGAAATTTGCGGAGGTTTGTGGGTGCACAGATTGTGAAGATTTGTGGAGATTTGTAAAATTGTGGAAAATTGCTAAGAAATGTGAATGCAGAGATTCGCGGAGGTTTGTGAGTGCAGGGATTGTAAAGATTTGCTGGGATTTGTGAAGTTTGCAAATTTGTGGAAAATTTGCAGAGATTTGTGAATGCATAAATTGTGAAAATTTGCGGAGATTTGTGAAGGTTTATGAAGTGAGAAATTTATGAAACTTATGAGTGTAGGATCTGTGGTATGAATGTTGAATCTTGTCAAAGTTTTATGTGGAATTTATGGAAATTTATGCAGTGCGGGAAATGCCCGTATGAAGAAATCATATTCAGAAAGAGTATGAAGGGACTCATTTACAACTCAATGGTTGATCGAAGAAATGTTCGTGTGAAAAGAGATGCAGTTCCAATAGAATCAGTCAAACTCTCATTCACACCAGACAAAAAGGCAAATAAGAGTGTGGTTCTATGTAGATGGAGCCAACTAACCTCCTCTGCACGGAAAATAAGATCCAGAGTTCCTGTGGAAAGAAACTTCGTGTCGAGAGTAGTGACGCTAGTGATAGGTCAAGGAGAGTCAACTTGACCCGATTGAAATTTGAAGTTTTAAATGTTGATTTTGAATTTTGAATTTGATGATTTTGAATTTGATGTATTTGATATGACAATGAGTTTATTTTTATTTTATGTTGTGTTTTGCTGTGATCAATGTTTATATTTTGTGAATTCTCTTTGTTGCATTATTGTTAGGATTTAGACCCAGTTCTAGACAACTATGTCATCAGTGCTTCTTGAGATTCCGTCCATTAGGCTGGAGGCATGTGTAAAAATAATTCATTATTTATGGTACTATCCGAATTATATTCTTTCAAGTACACATAAAAATGTATTACTCTTGGCTGGAGGCATGTGTAAAAATAATTCATTATTTATGGTACTATCCGAATTATATTCTTTCAAGTACACATAAAAATGTGTTATTTCTAACGACATCATAGCTTGAGAGGTTGCAACTTTGTAACTCCGTTCATAGCAGTCGTAGTTTTTTTTTTACCACAGATTTTGTAAAGGTGTTCACACTGTCTTTGAGAAATCATTGACACTATTTGAATTGACGTTGGAGTTGAATCTTCTGGGCACTTGAAAGATATGACTTCAGAGGATAATTTCCATTAATTTGCTAATAACATGACCCTTTTACTTTAATTTGTTCTTTCTGAGCCTGAGCAGATTTCAAAATTTCAGATCATGCGATTAAAATATTTTTTAATTCCCAAAGATATTTCTGAGCCCGTTAATGGTCAACCACATGACTTAAGATGACTTAACTTTTTTGCAGAGTATAATATCAGAAGAAATTTTCTTAAGAGAGTTATTCGAGTTTTATTAATTAGGGGAAAATCCAGACACCAATTTTTGATTATATGTCCACCTCAAGCTTCTTCCTAGGGAGATTTTTTTTTCTTTTTTTTATTGATTTTTTTTTTTACTCCCTCCTTTTTTTATTGAGAATTACTATATCTGGTGGGATACATGTTAAGGATTTTGAATGTCTGGAACCCCCTAAATAATAATTCTCTAGTACTTCTCTAGTACTTCTTAAGATGAATTCTGGGATATTATAGCTCATTCAAAAGTCAGGACCCAGTCACTTGGCCGAAGATTAAAAGGCTCGTGATATCCTTAGTCAACTACTCGTATTTCGATCACACAATTTTATTCTGAAATTTACTTAGGACCCAGTCCAAAATCTTTAAAGTGCAGGACCCAGTTATTAGGGCATTAATTTGAATTTTTTTTTTAAGTCTTGATCTTATCAAAATGTTGGAAATTCATTTTGAATTATCCATCTCTTGACTGAAATTTGAACGTCTGAGTAAACTTTTTCAATCGATGTAAGATTGTCTGCAGAGAAAGAACAACAAAACATTTCTCATTTCGAGTGATATTTCAAATACTGATGAACTTTGGAAAATAAAAAACTCCTTTTCTTTCTTGCTTTATAGTGGTGAGGAGGGTTGGGACCCACTGACAGTGACCTTACATGATAACCCCTCTTTATATCAATAGTAGAAAAAAAAAACAAAAGACAAAATCTAATATCCTTCAATAGGAAAGGGGTTCTGAATTCTGCATGGCAGCTTGTACCGAGGTAGTTGGAATTTAGTTTGATATTTTCTTCAAAAGCATTGTTCAAATTGTGTCCCATCTGGCGTCAGCTGTGTAGGAGTCAAGCGGAACACTGGGATCGACCGAAATCATATTGATAGAACCTTTTTCAGGTTCCCTCAGATATTCTTCCGGGATCGTTATGTTCCCATTCTTGAAGTTCTTCTCAAGCCATTCTTTGAAACTGATACAACTTTCTATGGTGTGCCCAAGCAATATGTGATATGGGCAATATCTAGGGTGATCCTTTTTATCAATCTCCTCTGGTTTCTTCGCCTCTGGCAACCTGAAAAATCGAACTACTTGATCAAATGTTTGACCTTCTTCCCCACTGCCTCATCCTTGAAGGAGTAGACTCTGGTCAACCGATCGGCCAAGTATGAACCCTGTCCTCTGTCTGTGTGGTAGGTTCCCTGATGGCGCTGTGATTGATGGTACTGCTGATAGTGTTGTTGAGGTTGCTCTACCTGGATCTGCATTGGTTGCTTGCCTCTGTCAATTGTTGCCACCGTTCCAAACCTCTTCTCGAATGTCTTTACGGGCTTTGAATTGTCAGCTTTCTCCAGGAATCCGAGTTGTTTAGCCTCCTCTTGCAGGCTTGCAGCTTTACTGAGGAGCTTTTCAAATGTTTTGATTGTAAATCCTTTGAGTAGGAAAGCTACTGGACCATGAATGCTCTTGAGTAAGATCTCAATTGCATGTTGTTCCTGCAATTGTGGCTCACACTTCATACTTAGATTCCTCCACCGCAGAATGTATTCCACTAGGGTTTCCGTTGGTTTCTGTCGCTCCACCACAAGATCACCAATGGTGATATGGTGCTGAGCTCCAGCGAACCTCTTGACAAACATGTTCTCCAATTCTGTGAATGTCTTTACTGACCCATTAGGCAGTTCTGCATACCAATCAAAAGCAACTCCAGAGAGACTACTCACAAACTGGCGGAATAAAAGCGCTTCGCTACCCCCCGCGTTGCAGCAGCTTGCTCGGAAGTGTGCAACATGCTGACGAGGGTTCCCTGTTCCATCAAATGTTTTGAATGTAGGTGGTACGAAGCCTTTTGGGTA